CGCCCATATCCCAAGCTGGTCGGCGACACAGTCTGCGAATTCACCCAGGAATTCGAGGCAGTGAGAGAGCAGTCCGATGGGTGATGTCTAATCGGCGGCCCCGTAAGCCCGCTCCGCCCGCCGTGCCATCCATACCTGCTCCTCGCCGAAGGCGCCCGCCTACGAGAGCTGCACCGCCCCCCCACTCGCCTCTGGCGAAGCGAGCGCATCGAGCACCTCGGAAGCAGGCCACTCCCCCTGCCCAGAACGCCGCTAAGTCTGGCAAACGGACCGCGAAGCGTCCCTGGGACAGGTCATCTGGAGAGGAGGGAACTTGCTCTTTCCCCGCTGGAGGGCGGGGCGCCATTTCCAACGGCACTTTTTACTGCCATGAAATGAAAGGGCACTTTTCCACTTCTCCGGAGGTGACAGCCCGAAATCTGCCAGTTTGAGCTCAGCTCTCTAGCTCATAGGTTCGGTGCACTCCGCCAGTGGCTCACGGGCACTGCAGGCCCTGCCAGCCTGGGACGCGCCGCCTCTCAGCTCGCAAGGTCTGCATGCTCCGCCAGCGGCTCACGGGCGCTGGGGGGACGGTCTCCCTTCTCCCAGCCCCCAAGCCCCCCCTCCGGAGTCAGGGTGTGGAGCCAGAGCGAATCGCTCTCCTCCAGCTCTTCTGTGGGACCCTCGCGCTCCCCGGATCAGCACACCCGCTCCGCGCAGGAGTCAGGGTGCGGAGCCAGAGCGAAACGCTCTCCTCCAGCTCTTCTGTGGGACCCTCGCGCTCCCCGGATCAGCACACCCGCTCCTTGCTGCCCCTCCGCGGGTACGTCAAGGTTTGCTGCTATGACGTCATTAGCGAGGGCTCTGCCTGCCTGATTAGCGCGGGCCAGCCCCTCGCGGTGGCTCATACGCACGATCAGACTCGGCTACGAACCACAGTTCTCCAAACGGCCTCCCAGGTTTACGGGCGTGTATTTCACCAGGGTCTATCCCCTGTCCGCCCCTGTCTTGCGAGAGGAGATTGCTGCCCTCCTGGCGAAGGGTGCAATCGAGCCGGTACCTCCAGCCGAGATGGAGAGCGGGTTTTACAGCCCGTACTTCATCGTACCCAAAAAGAGCGGTGGGTCACGGCCAATCCTAGATCTGCGCGTTTTGAATCGCTGCCTTCACAAGCTGTCGTTCAGAATGCTTACGCAGAGGCGCATCCTCCGATGCGTTCGTCCTCAGGATTGGTTTGCAGCCATAGACCTGAAGGACGCGTATTTTCATGTCTCCATTCTTCCACGCCACCGTCAGTTTCTGCGGTTTGCGTTCGAAGGTCGAGCATGGCAGTACAAGGTCCTCCCCTTCGGGCTCTCTCTGTCTCCGCGGGTCTTCACCAAACTCGCGGAGGGTGCCCTAGCGCCTCTGCGGCTTGCGGGCATCCGCGTACTCAATTATCTCGACGACTGGCTGATTTTAGCCCACTCTCGGGAGCAGTTGACTGCGCACAGAGACGAGGTGCTCCGGCATCTCCGCCTTTTGGGGTTGCAGGTCAACTGGGAAAAGAGCAAACTCGCCCCGGTGCAGAGGATCTCTTTTCTCGGGATGGAGCTGGACTCGGTCACCATGGTAGCGCGCCTCTCCGGAGAGCGCGCTCGCCTGCTGCTGAACTGTCTGAGGGAGCTCGACAGCAAGTTAGTGGTCCCACTGAAATATTTTCAGAGGCTCTTGGGGCATATGGCTTCCGCTGCGGCCGTCATGCCGCTCGGATTGCTCCATATGAGACCACTTCAGCACTGGCTTCAAGATCGAGTTCCGAGACGCGCATGGCATGCGGGCACACACCGAGTCTCTGTTACTGCGCTGTGTCGCCGCACCCTCAGCCCCTGGAACGACCCCTCGTTCCTGCAGGCCGGTGTGCCTCTGGGACAGGCGTCCAGTCATGTTGTTGTTTCGACAGATGCTTCCAGCACAGGCTGGGGAGCCATGTGTGGCGGGCATGCAGCTGCGGGCCTGTGGGTAGGTGCCCAGCTGCATTGGCACATCAATCGCCTAGAGCTGTTGGCAGTGTTCCTTGCTCTCCGCCGTTTTTCTCCGGCGCTGGGGCAGCAACACGTGCTGGTCAGGACAGACAGTACGGCGGCGGCAGCGTATATCAACCGCATGGGGGGTATGCGCTCTCGCCGCATGTCTCAGCTCGCCCGCCGTCTGCTCCTCTGGAGTCACCCGCGGCTGAAGTCGCTGCGCGCCATTCACATCCCAGGTATGCTCAACCGTGCAGCCGATGTGCTCTCACGGCAGCAGATTCACTCTGGAGAATGGAGACTCCACCCCGAGTCTGTTCAGCTGATATGGGCGCGATTCGGGGAGGCCCAGATCGATCTGTTTGCTTCTCCCGAGAACGCTCATTGCCAGTTGTTTTATTCCCTGACCGAGGGCTCTCTCGGCACGGATGCACTGGCCCACAGCTGGCCTCGGGGCGTACGCAAGTATGCGTTTCCCCCAGTAAGCCTGATCGCGCAGTTAATGTGCAAGGTCAGGGAGGACGAGGAGCAGGTTTTGTTAGTTGCGCCCCTCTGGCCCAACCGAACCTGGATATCAGAGCTCTCCCTCCTCGCGACGGCCCTCCCTTGGCAGATCCCTTGAGAGAGGACCTACTTTCTCAGGGACAAGGCACCGTCTGGCACCCTCGTCCCGATCTCTGGAACCTCCACGTGTGGTCCATAGACGCGAGGAAGACTTAGGTAACCTGCCGCCCGCGGTGGTTGATACCATCACTCAGGCTAGAGCCCCCTCCACGAGGCGCGCCTACGCCCTGAAGTGGAGTCTATTCACTGAGTGGTGTATCTCTCGCAGAGAAGACCCCCGATCTTGCCAGATCAGTGTTGTGCTCTCTTTCCTTCAAGAGAAGCTGGACAGCAGGCTGTCGCCCTCCACTCTCAAGGTTTACGTTGCTGCCATCTCCGCTCACCATGACGCGGTGACTGGCGGCACCGTGGGAAAGCATAACCTCATCATCCGGTTCCTCAGAGGCGCTAGGCGAATTAATCCAACTCGCCCCCCTCTCACGCCCTCTTGGGATCTCGCCCTCGTTCTCACGAGCCTGCGATTTGATCCCTTCGAGCCACTTGATACAGTATCTTTAAGATTTCTGTCCCTGAAGACAGCTCGGCTGGTCGCGTTGGCCTCCATTAAGAGGGTCGGGGACCTGGAGGCATTTTCGGTCAGTGACTCGTGCCTGGAATTCGGGCCGGGATTTTCTCATGTTATTCTGAGACCCCGCCCGGGTTATGTGCCCAAAGTTCCTACCACTCCTTTTAGAGATCAGGTAGTAACCCTGCAAGCGCTGCCCCCAGAGGAGGCAGACCCAGCCCTGTCCTTACTTTGTCCAGTTCGCGCTCTGCGCATTTATGTGGACCGTACTCAGAACTTTAGATCTTCTGAGCAGCTCTTTGTCTGTTATGGCGGACGGCAGCAGGGAAGTGCCGTGTCTAAACAACGTTTATCCCACTGGATTGTGGAGGCCATTTCATGTGCTTATTTGAGCAGAGGCCAGCCGCGCCCCCCAGGAGTGCATGCGCACTCCACTCGGAGCGTTGCATCCTCTTGGGCGTGTGCGCGTGGCGCTTCTTTAACAGACATTTGTTGAGCTGCGGGCTGGGCGACACCCAACACATTTGCAAGATTTTATAATCTGCGAGTGGAGCCGGTTTCCTCAAGGGTGTTAGGTACCTTTGGTGATTGAGGAAACAACTCGGTAGGTGTTGTACACGCTTGCGGTGCCTTTTTTCCCTAACACGGAGAGATGTGCACCGTCCTGTCTGTCAGTAAAGTTCCCCATTTGGTGAGCCCTGCAGATTCCTCCGAGGCCCCCAGCACTGACTCAGCGGAGGAGTCACTTGCTGGCCCATTACGTAGTAGGTCTGCCCGCTGGTCAGCCCGCGTTTTGGGTATAGGTGCCTGCTATGGCCGATCCCCGCTGGTGATCCCCATGTGCTTTTTCCGCCACGGTTAAGTTCCCCCCCTGGGCGGACCCGTGCTTTCCCTATCTGCTAACCACCTTTTATGCGCACTCCCCCTTTTCAGGGTTAGTCCATATGTAATTCCATTTGTTTCCCCCTATTGGGTGCGGATGGTCTCCGCAGCGTCCTCCCTACTGGGATGGCACGCTTCCCAACGTACTGTCGTGTATTCCTAGAATTATCTAGACGCTAGCGACTCCCAAAAAAGATACCTTTTCCGTAAAACTTCTTTTGAAGTAGGATAAGTTAGGGCCAAGGGCACGTTGGAGGACCACGCCTCTCGTGATCTGGGTGCGTCACGCTTGCCTGACCGCTCTCTCATGGTGGGTGTTGGTAAGGTGCAGTCATTATGGCGCTTTCAATGGGCTCCCAATGCGTGGATTTTAACAATCAAATCCACTTATAGTGCTGGAGTTCCCCCCGAAGGGGAACGTTTGAGGTTACTAAAGTAACCCTTCGTTCCCCGAGGAGGGGAACGGAAGCACTATACTCCGTCTCCATAATGACTGTCCCTTAGCTGTTAAAAGTCTCTTCAGCTTAAAAAGGATAGCGTCTGCTGGCGCCAGGTGAGCTTATATACTCAGTTGATTGCTTATGCCGCTCACCTGCGCAGGCTTGCGCTGCCAATTCATTCTTAATTGGCCCGTTCAATACTCTTTCAGACGAGTAGCTTCTGAACCGAACCTCCCAATGCGTGGATTTTACAATCAAATCCACTTATAGTGCTTCCGTTCCCCTCCTTGGGGAACGAAGGGTTACTTTAGTAACCTCGAACGATATTCAGCACACCAAATATCTGAAAGGCATCGGCGACTCATCTGCGATTGTCTCATATCGCGTCTTTGATAGTTTTAATCTGTGTGATTGTGACTCACGTGCACGAGCACCGATTTGCCTGTGATTTCAAGCATTTGTCAGCGATTTCCTAAAACTTGTCAGCGAGTCAAAATCGGGGCTAAAATCATGCAGTCTGAACTTGGCATTGGCCGAATTGAACAAAGCTTCTTTTGTCTGTAGGAGGCAGCAGCACTTGTTTCCCAGCGCACCATGAATCCCAGAGAGTTTTTCAGACAGTTATCAGCATCTTCACAAAATTCTTCAAGTCCTGGATCACCACGCTCAGGTAAGCAGCTTTCAGAATTCTTATCAGCTTAAAGAAAAAGTTCACCCAAAAATAATTATTTTGTCATATTGTGCTATTATTGTAGAAATGATAAAAACATGTACTGCAACCAATGACTTTCATAGTACTTGTTTTTTCTACTATTGAAGTCAATGGTTACAGGTTATCAACTTTCTTCAAAATATCTTCTTTTGTGTTCAAAACAAAAAAGAATCTCATAAAGGTTTGAAACCACATGAGCGCAAGTACAGTTTTATTTTTGGATGAACTATCCCATTAAGACCTGTTCAAACAAACAATGATAACTCCAAGATAAAAATGTTTGTTTGGTTGATTAAAAGCATGTACTTACCGCATTTTTATTGTCTGCCAATTTAAACACTTGCACTTTGACATTCTGATATGCATTAAATCATCTTATTTTTCATTAGTCGAAAAAAAGTCATAGAGTTTTGTTGTTGTTATTATTAAAGTTGAGCTAAACCGAGTTAAACTCAGAGTAATTTTTATAGTTACCTTCTTTTATGTATGAACTGGTCTCTGTTATTAATTCGCCTTTTAATTGACTCGCCTTTCATTTTATCCAGGAAAATCTCCATTCCGTCGCTACCAGCGCAGTTTGACAGACACTGCCTTCATCTTTGAGAGGACCAACTCCACCTCTGGTCCCACATCTCCACTCAGTCCTTCTGCGAGATCCCCATTCACACGGACCGCATCCACATCCTCATACACATCCTACAAATGTCCAACATCTCCACTTAGTCCAACTTTCCGGAGGATCCCTTCTCCACAGCACCCTCCAACATCTCCCCCCACATCGCCTCCTCCACGCTCCGTCCCGCCGCTGTCTCCTCTACCCAGTCTGCCAGTTTCCAGACCCCCTCCACCCCAGTCTACACCACCCAGCCGACCTCCTCCTCAAGCCCCAGTCCAGCCTTCAGCTCCACCTGCATCTCCAGAGCCGCTGGACATTCTCAATAAGTCAGAGACGTACATCTGTGAGGTTAACCAAGAGGAATTCACTGTCGCTACAGAACGTCCCACAGCTTCACTCTCTGAAAATGCCATCAACACTACAGGTAAGTGAGTTTAAGTCACAATAGAGAGACATAATAATTTAATTAATTCAATTCATCTTTATTTCTATGACGTTTTTACAATGTATATTGTGTCGAAGCAACTAAAAGTTCTAGTAAAATTAAACTGTGTCAGTCCAGTTTTTAGAGTTGAAGTTCTGTTTAGTTCTGTTCAGTGCGGTTTAAATTTCAGTACTTAAAGCCCAAACACTGAATAGCAAATCCATCAATGCACAGCTCCACAAGTCCCAAACCAAGCAAGCCAGTGACGATAAAAGGATAGTCTACCCAAAATTTAACATTTACCCACTATTCACTCAACCTTAGTGGTACCAAACCTTTTATGAATTTATTTGGTCCCACTTTATATTAATGGCCTTCACTAATAGCTACTTACATCAAACAATAAATACAATGTACTTACTTTGTTAAAAATGTTTTGAGTTGGGATATGGGTCACATAAGGGTCTGGTTTGGTAATATGTGTTTTATTGATGGGTTAAGGTTTAACAATCATTTTATGTCACACTTTATTTTGATGGTCCGTTTGTTGAATTAAGCTACATTGCATCTACATGTCAACTAATTCTCATTAGATTATAAGCAGACTGTTAGGTTAGGGTTAGGGTTAGGGTTAGGGTTGGAAAGTACTTGCAAAATTAAAAGCTTAACAGTAACCCATTTACTAATACTCAGGTGTTCTTTGAAAGTTACGCACAGTCAACAGAATATGTAAAGTGGGCCATTAAAATTAAAGTGTAACCCAATATATTCTCTCCAGATCTTGTTACTGCCTCTCCAATGCTGTGTGAATCAAAATCAGAAGTGGACTTTACAGTTAGAGCTGTGCTGGTTGAAGAAGACGAAGACGAAGAAGAAGATGATAAAGTAGAGGTAGAAGAACCAGACCAACCGTCAACTTCAGATATCAAAGGCAGCACAAACTATGAAGAAACAGTGGAAACAGTAGCAGAGGAAGTGGAGTGTGAGGATGAGGATGAGAAGAGTATAATCAGGCCTCTGGTGGAGGTTGAGGAGCAGGAGCAGGAAACCATGTCTGAATCTGAGGATGAAGAAGATGCAGAGGAGAAGCCGGCTGCAGAATCACTGGACAACCAGAACACTATTGTGGAGGAGCATTTACAGGCTGAAGAAGACAGAAATGTGATCTCAGATGATGAAGCTGAGGAAGATCCACCAGAGAATCAAGGTGATGGGAAGACACATGTGAATGCAGAATGTTTCTGTGGTCGGGATGTCATTGATATTTATCTTGTTGTGTGTTCAGAGTTGTGTGTGAACGTATCTGAGTTTGAGCTGATGACCGGAGAAGATGAATTTGAATGTGGGACACCGCTTAACGGGACAGGTAATGAGCTATATGAGCTAGAATTCTCTTTGTTTCAGAAATTGCTAGTTAAATTATTAGAAATCTGTTACCACTTGCACCACCGACCTTGTTCCGCTCACACGGCTCTTAGCCATGCACTAATTGCTACAATGATTTTTAAAACAGCATTTAATCACTTTAATACCCTCTCCTTTATGAACAGTATTCTGTGAATTGACATCTGTGTGAATTCATGAAAATATTACATTTGTTCTGATCTCATACCCCCTTACATTCTTACCGACCAGGCGGGAGTCCCTGGGCTCCATTATCTCTAGGCTCAGGGTTCTCTCCCTGGACAGCACAATAAACCTGCTGTTATTATTAAGCAATATCTAAATGTGAACTCTTGAAATGTAGATTAAAACACCATCAGAGGCCTTTTGACATTTGCTAAATCATTTTACATCATCGGTTAAGTATTTTTGACAGGTCAAAAAACAAAACTGGCAAAAATTAAGAATAAAAATAATACGATTTGGACATACGTTGATTTCACATTTTTTACAGGAATTTACATTTTTTTTAATGTTAATAGTAATTGACTCTATACTTAAGATGGAACTGTCACTTAAAGGAATAGTTCACCCAAAAATAAAAATTCTGTCGTTATCAAAACAAAATAAGAAACTGATTGAACTGAACTATCTTCTTTCGTTGAAAGTTGAAAAGTTGAAATAATTTTCATTTTGGGGTGTACTGTCCATTTAATTTGTTTTGATTAAATGCAAGTTTTTTTTTTAAACCAGCTACGCTTATTACAGTATTTCTTACAACACTATTGACATTTGCACAACAGTTAATGCATTTCTCTAAACAATTAGTCATTTGTGCACATCATAGTAGCAGTTTTTTATTCCTTCCAACAAATTGCAATTGCTTTCATACAACTCTCTGCTATTTTTAACATTATTATTTGCTTATGTCATGTCAGTCAAAACAAACTAAACCTGTGAATGCTGAATAGTCATTCCATATAAAACTAATAGTCCTCATTTCATTATTTGAGTCATTAAATACAAAAATGTTGAACTAGTTGTCAAATTCTTTCAAGCAAATTTGATAAAAAAAAAAAAAGTCTTCTAAATTGAACAATTTCATGAATAATTTACAGACCTGTATATGTTGCAGGTTCAGTTTCAACATGTTCTTCAATATTGTATGCAGTTGTGCACAGCTATACCCAAAGGAAGTTTGTGTTTGTTGTAAATAAGGGTGTATTTATTCTTTTGCACAATGCTGTGAATAAATTAAAACTACAAAGAGCAAATGCAGTAAAAATGTGAAACATACATATCCAGTGTCTTGTACTCAGATACCTCACTAAATGTTGTGATGTCTAACTTTACTGTATTTTTTAAATGGCTGTGCAAATAGTATATAGTGCTGTCTTGAGCATTTTCAGGAAGTGTCACCAAAATCTGACATTTTTGTCTGGAAAAAATGTCCAGAGTAAACTGTCATAATGAAAACAGAACAAAGTCATTTGACTATCTTGTTCATAAACAATGGTGTCAGGACTTTTCATTTTGATGACACTGACACTTTTATTGACATCAGTACTTGCTTTTTAGGAATGAGCTGTCCATTTTGAGCAAGTGACACGCTTTTGCAGGTTATCAACTAGGTTTTGCAGTTTGTACTAATTGTTTAGAACAGGGGTCACCAACCTTGTTCCTGGGGAGCTACCTTCCAGCAGAATTCAGTCACAACCCTGATCAAACACACCTGAACCAATTAATAGTACCCAACGCAACACTTGATAATTACAAACAGGTGTGTTTGTTCAGGGTTGCAACTGAAATGTGCAGGAAGGTAGCTCTCCAGGAACAGGGTTGGTAACCCCTGGTTTAGAGAAATGCTTTAACTGTTGTGCAAATTGTGCGATTGACTCTATACTTTTAATGGAAGTAGGCATTTTCCTAAACTGTCCCTTAACGAAATAAGTTCAACAAAATAAAAAATTCTATCATCATCAAAACAAAATAAGATACTTTGAAGAATGCTGGGAACCAGTAATTCATTTTCAAAGTATTTGTTTTCCATACCATGAATGTCAATGTGTCCAGTTTCCAACTGTCTTCAAGCTACCTTCTTTTGTTTAAGATGATAGAATTTTCATTTTTGGATGAACTATCCCTTTAAATCACAGGTCTCAATCTCGATTCCTGGAGGGCCGCAGCTCTGCACAGTTTTTCTCCAACCCTAATCTAAAAGCTGATCCAACTAATAATGGTGTTCAAGACTACTAGAGACTATTAATTAGGTGTGAGTTAGAAGTGGTTGAAGCTAAACTGTGCAGAGGTGCGGCCCTCCAGGAATTGAGTTTGAGATCATTGCTTTAAGGCAACACAGAATATAGAATTAAAGTTGATGTGACTTGAGTTTTTAGGTACTGAACTGAAGCATCTGAGATTTTTGTACTTTTGTAACTTCACTACTGTGTTGTGTGATGCTTATATGAATGATGAATGACTTTGTTTTCAAGTAGAGGACGTGGATGTATCTGAGCACAGCACACCTGAGCGCTACTGTTACACCGTCAACCGAGAGGAGGAAGATGAAATCCAGACGGAGGTTTTAAAAGAGAATGGCGAAGTACGTACTACAACTCACATGACGAATCATCATCAATTTTCATGCAAAAAAATATTTCACATTGTAAAACATGTCTTTCACCTTCTAGTCATCACCAGAAAGACTTCTGCGCGTCAGAGCTTTATACGACTACCAAGCAGGTTAGTGTCGCTTACTTCAAGGGGGGAATAAGTAAGGGATTACATCTACTGAAAAAAAAGAACGTTTCATGGTTATATATGCTAGGCCCGTAGCCAGGGGGGTTCGGATGGTTTGAAAGACCCACCCCTTATAGACAAAGCTCCTTTTTTGACTGCTATGCCATAATAAATAGTGAAAATAACCCATCAAAAAATGGATGCATACAATCTCATTCAAATCAAATCAAATCACTGAAATCACTTTTATTGTCACATCATAGCACACATGCTGCTGAAGATGTGATAATGAAAGTGATTTGAGTGATTTGATTTGAATGAGATTGTATGCATCCTTGTGACAACTGTTATTAAGTGTCATTCACTCCTTTAAAATTGAATCCTTTAAAATGCAAAGATGACATTGTTTCAGATGTCTTTAACATAAGCAAATAGATCATAACCAGTCTTTGTCTTGTCATAAGTTGCCATAAACCTGTCATAAACATGATTGTTATAAGGCCATTATAACTGTCATACATTTCATAACAGCATCACAATCACTGTGGTGGTAAAAATTTAACTAAATATCCTTAAATATTAATAATGCTGTTCTAAAATGATTATTGACGATTTACTTTTTTGTTCCTCTGAAAAAATATTTATGACACAATTAAATGGCCTCATGACAATCATGTTTATGACAAGTTATGTTTCTCTGTAAGGTCAAGTTGTCATGACAAAGACAAAGGCAAGTGTTGATGTATTTGTTTTTTGTCAAGTCGTCATGACGATGACATCTCCAGCAATGTCATCTTTGCATTTAAAATGACATAGCTAATTGTACAGTACGACACGCAATGGCAGTTGTCATAAGCATGCATAAAATCTCCTTCATATCATGAGTATAAAGATGACAGTCTTATGAACACGCTTTTCAAGTTGTGTTATCAAGCAATCCATAGTGTATAAACTCATGGTTTGAGGTAGATTTTTATACTAGTAATATACTGATGTAAAAGGCGTTTTACGATTCTGAAGTTGAAATCATATACACCTTTAATAGCCAAGGGAGACTTAATAATCCAGGAATATATTTATTTTTGGGTGAACAATCTTTTAAACCTCTCTTTTCCCCACAGAGGATGACACTGAGCTGTCTTTTGAACCTGGTGACATCATCAGCGATGTGGAAACAATCGACAAAGCGTGGTGGAGGGGCTGCAGCAAAGATGGACGCCAGGGACTTTTTCCTGCCAACTTCGTAGAGACCATCTAAAGACTTCTCAATTAAAGACGGTTCCTCTTCCCTTTTTCTCTTCACCAGTTCTCAGGGACTAAGAACATAAAGCCCCGTCTATGAGGACGTAGCATGTGCTCTGAGACTAAGAGTCACAGGAAAAGGGTCTGGAAGTGAAGCGTTCACAGGCAGAATCCAGCCAACAATCCTTTACAAGCAGCCAAAGTCCACAATGGAGCCTTTCATGATCGTCCACTGCAAGACTGAGGAGGATTCTCACACAACGCCAGCTCAGATACGGATTCAGTACACTTCCTGTTACACAAATCATCAAATCATACACAATTATCACACACTTTACATCATTTATTATTTTACACACGGTTCTTACTGTTATCATTACCAAAGGTGGTGGAGCTGTCTACTGAAGTTTGTTAATCCAGCTAACATAGTCATGTAACGGCTCACCCTGAATATAGAAACTTTTTTTACTGTGTCTGATAATGTAGGTTAAGTAGCCGTTACATGCTATGTGTTTTGTTTTTTTAAAGCAGAGACATGTTTACAGCCGTTTGAAAGGCCGAGACCAAATGTAATCAAAGCTAACGGCTTCATGTAGAAACTATTGCTTAAAAACAGTGCTATATTTGATCTATGACTATTTTAAAATGTAATTCAGAGAGATGAATGTGCAAATGTATGCCCTACTTCCAGATGTGAAATCTACGAATCCCTAATTGTTTCAGATCTCTGTCCTATAAAACATCCATTGTTTTACTTTGTAAAAGAGCGCAAGCCATTATCTAAATCTTTCACTTCTTTATGAGGAGCAGAAAGATTTGTTTGGGAAAAAAAGTGAGACCTGATCAGATTTCAAAATTTCTCAAAAATGGTATGTACTGTACACACTTTATAAAAATAAGATCTTTAAAAAAACTGGGGTTTATTGATATAAACTAGCCTAGCGGAGAGGATAAACCATAACTAGTGAGTCACGACACTACTATGATTACAATATTTTGCTTTAGCAAACAGTGCTTTGACATGCTGAAAAGAGTTCACATGCTGACCTGGGAGAGAGCCCTGAGCTCATAAGTTCCTTAAGCCCAGGGCTCCCTCCTGTTTGCAAGCCAAGAGGGGAGTTTGAGCTCAGTTAGATCTTGAGAACTCCCCTGCTGTAGTACCTAATGAACCACTGGGCCACCATGCCACTCATCTTGGAAAGGAGGAGAAGGGGTGGAAGGTGGGAATGTTCAAAACGAAGATGGCTGTTATATGAAACTTCGGATATTTATAGTGGCTTAGGAATCGTCTGATTGGTGAATCATAAATTGAATAATGCAGGACTGGCTGCAAGCAAACATATGCACGTGATCCTTTCGAAATTAGTTTATAAATAAACCACAAAAACCCATTGAAATCAAGATTTAATTTACAAGGGTGACCTGGCTAAGAGCTGTGCAACACACGACTTCTTAAGAAAAATAATAATAAATAAAATGTAAAGATACAGATTAGTTATTCAGCTGTACCACATTACAATACTGTATGTTAAAAACACATACGTTGAGAAATGGACTGTCGTTGTTTGTTATAAAGGATAGAATGAAATGATTTGATTGGGATGAGCTCAGACATTTTTAGATTAGACTGAAGAGTATTCCAGGATGAGGGAGTGGCATGTCTAAAGGCTCGCCTCCCCATAACCTTATATTACAAGCAGACAGCAGTATAATAGAACTTGGCTGCCATTACATATTTTTAAATGCTCTGAAACCTTGCACATAAACTATCGTTCAAAGGATTGGTGTCTGTACGATATACGAAATATTATTATTTAAGTAATTTTCTTCTGCTCACCAATTCTGTACACTCTCAGAAATAAAGGTAGAGGAGCTGTCACTGGGGCAGTATTTTTTCAAATTATACACATTTTAAGAGTTTAGATGCAAAAACCTCTACAGTAAGTTCCATCTGTAATTTTCTTCTAAAATGAGCATTTTTCAAAGCCTCATGTTTATGTTCAGTTATTTCATGTTGAAAGCGATGAAAATAACTCATTATTCACCATAAAAGTGACATTTCTGGACCAGGACATAGAAACCTGAAAAATGGTAATATTAGAAGAAAGTTTCAGGTGGCACTTCATTTGTACCAAAGACTCTAGATACATCTTAAAGGGACGTTGTTTGTACCCAGAGTTCACAGTGGTACCTCAAAAGGGCATATTAGTACCCAATTGTACAGATGTTGCCACCTCAATATGTTCCCTCTGCCGCTGGACTTGCTAATCAAATGTCTCTCATTCTAATAAATAAATGTTCGTAACGGAATAACGTAAAAGGGCTTTGTTATTCACTCAGCATGCACGGTGTAACCGTTTTCAAAGTCTGTCTAATTTGTTTAACTGCAGGCTGATGAGATATACATACAAGATTGACATTTAAACTAAAAGAAATTCCTTTGACCATAATGGCGATGTTATTATCTCAAATTTTAAACATGCACACACTACAAGATATGAAAACCATGGCACAGCACACACTAGAAGATATTATGTGCCCGATGGAGCACATCACCTAAGTGCAGTATAACTTGATTTATCTATAATTAGTGTTCACTATGTAAATGTTTGACTGACTGCCACCACACTGGATGACACAACAGTCAACATCAAATGAAATGAGTGTAGTCAACAAAATTCATTTGAAAAGAGTTTTGAACTCAGTGTTGAAGGTAATGAGTTAAGTAATACCTCATTACTTCAACTCAAATGGATTAAGTTCACACTACTCACATAGATTTTTTTTTACTCAAATTGTTTGTAGCAATCGGTTTCCTTAAACGGTATGAGTTGACAACTTATTGAGTTCTACAGTACTCAGTTGGTTTGAGTTCTCTTCATTTATTGGGTTTTACTGTGCCTGAATTGCTTCATTTACTCGAATGTAATAAGTTCACAGTACTCATTTGGATTAGTTTTTGAACTTAAATGGTTTGTTGCAATCAGTTTTCTCAAATGATTTGAATGACCTTAACATTTTGGGGTTTTACATACATGCAAAACACACTCATGCACTCAAAATAGGTTCCCTTTTGCATAGCTAATAGTGGCAGTTATGAAATAAAATGAATGGGCATTATGGACCCTTCAGGTATAAGTACGTTTTGAAAAGGTACTTCCCCAGTTACAGCTCCTGCACCTTAAAGTTAATATTGTGATAATGATTATATTAGAAGAAAAAACTGCTTTCTATTTTGATTTATTTAGTTTTCAGTGTTACCTGATGTGGATTTGGTGCTCGAAATACAGCATTTCTTTGGCCATTAATAATTATTGCAAAAACCTACTTTAATCCACATTGAATTAATTAAATGTCCTATCAATTAAGATAAAGTTTGCTGAATAAAAGTATTCAAAATGCGTAAAAAAACCTACTGTACTGACCAAAAACTTTTGAACAGTAGTATATACGATAAGGTAATGTTCACTTTTGTGTAAATATTATGAAATACATGTTGTTTTTCTATGTAATTTATTTATCTGAACATGAACAGATATATTTCCTCCCTCTAGCTAAGGTTTATTCCAGTCATTTTTCAGCTAACAAAGTTCTTCTGTTTGTTTTTATATGGAAAAATCACACAAATACATTTACCCTCTATTCTCCCTTTCACTCAATTCTTATTGTAATAACCAATTAGATGTGTTTGTTTTTTCACAATCTGCAATTTAATGCTTAATTTTATGTGTTTGCCTTGTTTCACAGCCAGTACACTGCCTTCTTTCATACTGTTTTGAGGCTCACAATCATTAAAAAGACATTATTCACATGTGTATTAATGCATGAGATCAAATTAAAGGGATACTGGGTCATAATGGATTTACTATCTAGTAAAATCATTTGACAAATGCACTGCAAGAAATGAAAGAGAATTACACACACACACAAACACAAACAAAACTGCTGCATTTACTTTTAATTTAAGTCCATCTTTCCAGTCATTTGTTATCGTACATGAATCTATTAGTGTCCAAAGACATGCAGACTGAAATGACACTTACCTCCGGGTTAACATTCAATGTTATCTAGCAGGATGAGAGTCTCATAGAATATCGATATCTTTATAACAAAATTAATGTGGTAAAATACAACTTTAATAAAAGCACGAAATGAAAATTACAAAACTTTACAATAACAAATAATGTTGATTGAATATACAGTTTTTAAATACAAATCTGTGGTGTGTGACTGACAGAGAACTGTTTGTTTTGTATCGCATCATAAACCAGGGGAAAACTCTTCTCAATTTGACAGAAGTTAGGCTGATATTTCAACACTCGCAAAATGGCTTTTGCTGCCATTTTTGATACATAAAGATGTCTCTTAATCTAAAATGACAGATAAAACATAATACCTAGAATATTGTGCAGATGTGTTTTCTGCATCACAGTTATTTTAATCTGTTTAATATTTTTATGGCAAGATGAATTGTAATTTCACTCCTGAGGTTTTTATTGAACTAATAACAGTACAGTAACTTCAGTTATTGTAAATATTGCTAACACAAGTCTTCAGGAAAACATGCAGTTTATCAGAACTGGAGGAAATGCTTTGATGCTCTGAATTCAAACAATGGACTTGCAAGCCGACAGGGAAACAGAAACAATTTGAATAATCCATATAAAAATCTAATATATAGCATTATATGCAAATGACAAAATAAAACCTACAAGTTCATGTTTGGAATATATTTGTAATTCCAATGTTTGAAAAAAATGTTCAAATATACTGGCTATAATTTTATTTGTGTTCATATGTTTGATTTACACTCACCGGCCACTTTATTAGGTACACCTTACTAGTACCGGGTTGGACCCACTTTTGCCTTCAGAATGACCTTAATCTTTTTGATCGCTTTTTGATCTTTCAATGTTGGCTCCTTCTGTCATTGTGAAGAAGAATTCACCCACTAACAGGGAATGTGAGCTGGCATTAGACCAGCATGAGACAGGTCAGTTTTACATATTCCCCCACATCCCAAAGGTGCTCTATTGGATTGAGATCTGATGGCTGTGGAGGCCATTTGAGTACAGTGAGCTCATTGTCATGTTCAAGATACTAGTCTGAGATGATTCACGCTTTATGACATGGCGCGTTATCCTTCTGGAAGTAGCCATCAGAAGATGGGTACACTGTGCTCATAGAGGGATGGACATGGTCAGCAACAATATGCATGGTTCGACATGTTGTGCATTCAGAGATGGTCTTGTAACGAGTGATAATTTGAGTTACTGTTGCTTTTCTATCAGCTCAAACCAGTCTGGCCATTCTCCTCTGACCTCTGGTATCAACAAGGCATTAGCTCCCACAAAACTGCCGCTCACTGGATATTTTCTCTTTTTCGGACCATTCACTGTAAACCCTAGAGATGGTTGTGCGTGAAAATCCCAGTAGATCAGCAGTTTCTAAAATACTCAGACCAGCCCGTCTGGAACCAACAACCATGCCATGTTCAATTACGTAAATCACCTCTCTTCCCTATTCTGATGCTCGGTTTGAACTGCAGCAGATTGTCTTGACCATGTCTATATGCCTTAATACATTAAATTGCTGCCATGCGATCCATTAATAAATACTTACTTTTTGTTTCACTTATCAAGCGTATGCGTCTTCTCCTCATTCACCCAGCATCAATAGACTCACTGATTGTTACGTATCATCCCTTTAATTATTTAACATCATAAACACGTAACAGTTGCTTAGAAATTTGCATTAACGAGCAGTTGGACTGGTGTACCTAACAAAGTGGCCAGTAAGTGTATATTGCAAACATGGCATAATTTTATTCATTCATTTTCTTTTCAGCTTAGTCCCTTTATTAATCTGGGGTCACCACAGCGGAATGAACCGCCAACTTATCGAGCATATTTTTTACGCAGTGGATGCCCTTCCAGCTGCAACCCATCTTTGGGAAACATCCATACAAAATAATTCACATTCAAACACTACGGACAATTTAGCTTATTCAATTCACCTGTACCTGGAGGAAACCCACGCAAATGCAGGGAGAACATGCAAACTCCACACAGAAATGCCAACTGACCCAGCCGAAGCTTGAACCAGTGACCTTCTTGCTGTGAGTTTATATACGTGAAATCCAAATATGATCTTGCAGGTCCTACATGTAATTTCCATGTATCAGATTTCTATATGGGAATGCATGTACCGTAAATTGAAGTCTAGAATACCCTACAGTATTAACTTTAAGCTGTTGTAGCTTTGCATAGACAGGCTTTAACTGCGACAGCTTCATAGAAAAGCACGATTCAATCAAAACACACAAAACGGCATATTTCATTGATTGTGCTGATTCCTGGTTAATGTGTGTTCAGATTTTGTAGTTCAAAGACAGATGTGGTTCACATTTGCTGAGCGAGATAAAGTATGTACAGTAATCCTGAGGTCATCACAGTCGCGGTAGTAAACGGAGTCACATTAAATCCCATCATTACAAACATGAATTCAAAACCGTTAGTATTCTGGACCTTTGCACACACTGAAGCCAAGCAAAAAAGCACTTTATGAACTATAACAGACAGAGCAGCAGATATTATACATTTATTACCATATGTTAAAGGTGCACTCGGTACTACCGTTCCTCAGGTGTCAAACAAATAAAGAATCTATTATTTCTGAAAAACACTCTGCGAATCTAAAAGTCAAAGAAATAAAGGTACAAAACCCGTCACTGAGACATTAGCTTTTTAAAAGGTACAAGTTTGTACCTAACATGTCCACATTTATACCATAAATGTGCTTATTCATTCATTCATTCATTCATTCATTTCCCTTCGGCTTAGTCCCTTATTTATCAGGGGTCGCCACAGCTGAAGGAATCACCAACTATTTCCCTATATGTTTTACGCAGCAAATATCCTTTCAGCTGCAACCCAGTACTGGGAAACACCCATAGACAGTCATTCACATACACACACACACACACTCATACATCATGGCCAATTTAGTTAATTCAATTCACCTATACCACATGTGTTTGGATTGTGAGAAAATCGGAGCACCCAGAGGAAAGTTACCTACATAAACACTGGGAAAACATGCAAACTCCACACAAAAATGCCAACTGGCCGAGTTGGGACTCATCCAGCGACCTTCTTGCTGTGAGGCAACAGTGCTAACCACTGAGCCACTGTGTTGTCTAAATGTGCATATTAATTTTTAAATTGTATTAAATTGTAGCTCCTAGTGCCTTGAAGGTACTAAAGTGTATTCTAAAAGTACAATTGTACCTTTAAGGTACCAATACGCCCCTGTATGGTACCAAAAAGGTACCTTCTAAAGAGGTGCGGCCCCAGTAACAGGTTTTGTACCTTTGTTTTTGAGAGAGTATAATAAATGTCTTATTCTGTTAAGATAAACACTCCTGTTATTAGACGCTTTCCCACACAGAGCAAATGACTTTCAATAGAGCATTTCTGCAACAACATTGTAGTTTATCAGTGTATATGCAAAATGACCATACAGCACAACATCAACAAAACTGAGACTGAGCGCAGCTTGAAATAAAGTCAGTTACTGATAATGTCCATATTATGGAAATGCAAATGCAGAATTTACACTGATACAGAAACACTTTCTTTTTGCAGGTTGATGTGATTAAGATGCACTGGCACTTATAAATAAAGTGGAAATCATCAGCTGTAGTGATATTTCATTCATTTATAGTTCATAGTTTACTCTCCTTCATATTGTTTGAAACCTGATTGACTTTCAACAGACAGACAGACAGACAGGCAGACAGGCAGATAGACAGACAGATAGATAGATAGATAGATAGATAGACAGACAGACAGACAGACAGACAGACAGACAGACAGACAGACAGACAGACAGACCAGACAGACAGACAGACAGACAGACAGACAGACAGATAGATAGATAGATAGATAGATAGATAGATAGATAGATAGATAGATAGATAGATAGATAGATAGATAGATAGATAGATAGATAGATAGATAGATAGATCAACAAACACAACCTCATGGCAATTATTGACTATTATGTTTTGGCAAATTACTGACTAACGTTTATGAATTGGTAAAATCTCTTTTTTGTGTAACTAAACCTGAAATTGGTCTCAGATTCACCAAAATGTAAAATTGTTAGGTTTACATGTGAGATCAGGTTGGATTGCTATATTATATTTCTATTATATCATCTATCTATCCATATTTTTATTTATGCTTTTGTGTCTATTCTACTATCTATTTATATCTATCTTGTTTATTTATTTATGTTTTCTTGTGAGATGGACAGAAATAAAAAAAAGAATGTCTTACAGGTTTGAAAAGACATGATGGTGAGTAAATGATGACAGAATTATTTCATTTCTACATGAACTACTCCTTTAAATTTAATGGTAGTAAATTTTTGTGAAGCTTATTGGTCATGAAATATACTACTTTTCAAAGCTTTGGAGTACTTATATTTTCTATTGTGTTTCTATTGAGCTTTTTATTTAGCTAAAAATAAAAATAACAAGCATCATTTAAAAAACAAAACTCCACATTTTAGTATCCATAAAACATGCTTCATGAGCAGCAAATCAGCATTTCAGAATGATCTCTGAAGGATGGTGTGACTCTGAAAACTGGTGTGATAATGCTCAAAATGCATGTATTCTCACAGGAAAAAGAATTATAATGAATGAATTCTTGATCCACATTTTAGATTAAATAACTGCATCCTGAACATAAAATGCTTCCTAAATCTCACCAGCCTCCAACTGATGAAAGTCTGTGTATTCTCCAGTCTTAACGTGTTGAACACTCTGCAGAATTGAGCCTGACAGAACCTTCTAGAAACAACAGACACGAACAGTGGCCAGAAGTTCAATCAGAAGATCTCACAAAACCTGGAAGATCTCCAATCCACCCAAAAACACCTGAACCACAAAACAACACCACACCACAATCCCCAAAGATCTAAACCACTGAACATAAAGAAACTATGTGCACTGCTTCATATATTAACAACTTATTTTATACCCAATAAAGCACAATCCCCATTGCTGAAGCTCCATCAAAAGGCAGAAGAAAAAGTGAATTCCGCATGTTGCTCTCCGCAACTTTTCCAGTTTCCTCCAGGGTGAAGTTGATGTTGATTTAGATGCTACACCTGACTCTGCAGCCAGTTTCGGGGGTCCAGCTTGGCCCTCAGGTTCCTCAGGCTGCGCCTGGCATTAGACGGCCTGGAGAAACCCAGTTCTGACTCTTGACTGTTGCTGCCCTCGCTGGAGCTGCTGCTGGAGGTGGAGCTGGAGCAGGACAGGCCTGTCTGAGCGGGACGGGGAGACACAGAGCCTGCGACTGGAGGCTGACAGGAGCACCGATAGCCACCATAGCCTCGGCCGCGCAGGGTGGATAGCTTGGCGTCCAGAGAGAGGGTTCGTGGACGGAAGCGGCTGGACAAGGAAGAAGATGAGTCGGGAGACCACGCTTGACGAAAACAGGGGCTGATGCTGGAGGGACTGTCACTGTCGGAGGTCAGGCTGGCGTTGGAGGACAGCAGGCGAGGGCTGCGGGGCGGTCGGCCATGCAGGTGGGGACTGGGCGAGCGGGGCGGCAGACGTTGATGGTTGAGGGGGGATCTGGGAGGATCTTCTTCAAATAAGGACATCCAGTGAGGGGGAGACCCGAGTTGAGTCCTCAGCTCAAACTCTTCCATACGACGAGTGAGGATGTCTGTGACTGTGCCGATGTCGTCAGAGGTGTCAATAACTGTGAAGGGAGACAGAAAAACTTCTAGTAGAAGAAACTGGACTGACTCTATAAGAACTAACAGTGTTTTTCTGTTTAAAGATCATTCTGGATTAACATTATCATGTGTTTTATATTTTTGTTCTTAGCAGGTGGGATTTTGTGACTTATTTTTGCTGTTCATAAGTGTCCATTTTTAGAAATACAATAAGCTTTCTACTGATGTATGGTTTGTTAGGATAAGACAATATTTAGACAAGATAAAGCTATTTGAATATATGTAATCTGAGGATTCAAAAATTTATATTGAGAAAAATTAAGTGTTCAAATTAAGTTCCTAGCAATGCATATTACCAAAGTCCCTTTAATGCAAGTCATTTCACTCGGCAGCCATCTTAGAAACGCCTCTCGGGAATTATGCAGGCATTCTGTCTGAATGGGGAAACATCAAATTCTCCAAAATTTCAGGCCAAGTTTCTGATTAAATTTCATATTAGGAATCACCAATAAAATGAAACAACATCCGAGTCTTTAGTTTAATTTCTAAACGTTCATATGTCACAAAATCTGCAGAAACTGACGTCTGGTCCGAGCCCCTGTCCCGGAGAATCTTTAGTCTATAGCAGGGGTCTCAAACTGCCAGCCTGTGGGCCATTTGCATTTTCATTTGCGTATATCCACCCCCCACCCCAAACCAAAACTAATGTCAAAAAAGGAGATTCGGCTCAACTAAACATATATTTTTAAATCACTATCATTGTTGTGCAGTCGCATATATACATGTGGATTTGACCCCCCACCTATTGGACATTTAAGGTACTATAATATATACTGTAATAGATCCGACTATGTATTAGGATTACTTTCAGTTTCTCTCAGTGTGAGGTTGAGACACATGCAGATTATTTTTGGGGCTGATTTAAACGTACATACATGTCTGTAAGTGCTCTTTTTTCACTAACGCTCTATTTTTGGAAATATTCAAGGGTCATTTGATTATAATCAGTTTTATACCACCTGTATTCTGTTGTACAAACACCTCTTCATGGCTTTGACGTTATGCTGGTGGTGATAATTTTGCTAATATTTGATTAAATGGTCTCATTAATAGATTTTCCACATATGCATATTAAGAATTATATTAAAAATTTGCTTTAGTAAAATGTTACTGCTGGCTAAACTGAACATGTTAAAGTAAATGTGAATATGTACATACTTCCCCCCTCTTTGTTGTAGTTTTACAAAAAGGAAAGATATTGAGAAGAACAATTGTCAGTAAAGACACTAAAGTTTTTCAACTGCATTCTGCTGTCTTACGCTATCTGTTAAACTTTTGGTTAAGCAACAATTGATTGGGACATAATAATTATTATTAATATCCATGTTATTAAATTGTAGTATTTTCATAGCAATTTAAACTACACCTTCAATATGTACAATAAGAAACAAAAAGAAGGTGCTTTGATACTGTGGGGAAGAATGTCTGAGTGCATCAATTACATCAGGTTTCCACTTTTTTCGTGTGCTGATTGTAAAACGGTCCTCCTATGAATTGTCAGTCACTGATATGGCCCCCCGCCAATTTGAGTTTGAGACCCCGGGTCTATAGCAATCGCTGTTTTGCTCCTATACTAGAAGGCAGGGCTTCATTCGCCACGTCGTTACACTTTTCCCCATTTAAAACTATTCGAGTGATATGTCTTGTGTATTCTACAGTCTTTGATATTGCTAATCAAAAAACGAGTTTTGATATACTGTATTTACTGTAGGAAATTTACAAAATATGTTCATGCAAACATATCTTTATTTAATATTACTTAATATTTTGGCATAAAACAAAAGCCAATTATTTTGACTTTCACAGTGTATTTTTGGCTATTCCCATAAATACACCTGTGCAATATAAGCCTGGGGTTTTGTGGTCCTTGGTCACATATTTTGTTGTATTATAAAATGTTGAAAATGTTGAAATAAAGAACTTAAAAATTTTAAATGCAAGTAAAAGTAACACAAAATTATTGTTTCATTGTCTGATTTTTTTATCAAATAAAACTATTAAATTTTAAAAACCTAAAATATAGCAAGGTCATTTTTACAAATGAAATGAAATGAAATAAAATTGTATCGTTTATTTAATTTTTATATATGTTTTATTATTTATTAGCTTTTTTAGAATATAATTTTAAATTAGAATTAAGCAAATAAAAAAGCAAACATAAATTAATTTTATTAATTAAATACAGCAAGCTCTCTAATAATAATAATAATAATAATAAATAATAAATAATAACTATAAAATATAAAATAAATAAAAATATTAATACTATAAAAAGAAAAGTAATAATAATAATAATAATAATATAATGAATGATAATATAATGCATAATAATAATAATTTTACTACTAATAATAATATGAAATTAATAATAATATTAATAAATAAATATCAATAATAATAATTATAATAATAAAAATGTTAAATGAATGGTAATAATAATAATAAATATAATAATAATAATAATAATAATATAAAATGAAAATTAATAATACTTATAAAAATGAATTTTATTAACATTTTTATTATTTTTTCACGTTATTAAAAATGAAATACAGCAAACTCCCTAATAATAATAATAATAATAATAAAAATAATAATATTACAAGTCTGAGATTGCTGCTATTCTTTCACAAATGATTACAACCATATTTAAAATCTACAGGAAAAAAAAGCTTGGGTTGATGCAAGACAGTCGTATCTTATGTGGTTCGAGCATGAGGTCAGACCACTTCACCTGTCATTGTAATAGGACGAGAGCAGAGCTCGAATCTCAGCAGAAACAGCATTATCCTGCAGCAAGAGCCCCTCGCCAGACGCAGGGGCCACTGAGGAGCCGCAGCAAATGCAGCGTTCAGGAAATCAGTGTTTACACAGCAACCAAATAAAGATGCGGTGGTGAGGAATGTATGGGATGGATGATTGGATTAAAGCAGGAAACCAGAAATGCATATGAACAAATACAGGAGAGTATGAAAAATTAGGAAAAACAAAGTAAAAGCAGGGGAAAACAGACAAAAAAGACAGAGAAAGAGAGAAAAGACAGTCAGTTTGTCATTCAGCGGTTAAAGAAGATACATTGAGAAAGAGAAAGATTCAGATCTGACAGAGGACATGCAGTTCACTGTTAGATTTACAGTCATATCTGTGTTATTCCTGCTCATGCATTATTTCTGTCTCATACTACTAGCCTGAATACTTGATTCTGATTGGTTGATGAACCTTTTAAGGTGTGAAGTTATTTTCAGATAATCTGATTTATAAAGTAGCTTCAGGCAGGTCTTGACCACATTACAGTTCCAAATCACTCAATGATTTCAGGTATTTCAAATTATTTTCTATTCAGATGTCACCACAGTAGAATAAATTGCCGCTATTATTATTTTTTATTATTTTGCATCAACAAACATAATTGGACCATCATGGAATGAAACGGTTAAGCAAAGAAAGAAAAAATATAATGAACATATAAAGCTCTGTAGTACTGCTGGTGTTTATATTGTGACAGACAGTACAGAGCTGAAAACTGCCCTTCAGCATTTGTGAATGCATGTCTGAAGCAACTCACCCATCTCATGGTACAGAGAGCCCTGCTTTGGCGTGACTATGGCAGGTTTGCGTGGTGAAGGAAGCTCGATCTTCATCAGGTCGTCACAGCACTGCCTCCACTGGCCTGTAGAGGGTGCAAGAGGATTAGACACATTTCCCATAGAAGTCTTTTGTTGTTGTCACAATGACAAACATAGCCTACTTTATATAATGGTGGCAAATTACTGGCACGATAATTGGGTTTTAAAGCATGAATTAAATGTTTAGTTTGAGTAACAGGCCTGCATTACAGTTCCAAAGTTCAAGCAAACAGTTGTATCATTTGCACTCACAGGTTAGACAATGTTATAAAGACTGTTTCAAAGAATGTGCTAAAGTAATTGTGAGAAAACAGGATGTCAACAAATCATTTTTAGGAGAACGGAAACAACAGATTTATAATAACAGCAGCAGAATAAAATTAAAATATGTGAAAAATAATCAGATTTTTTTATGAGGCAAGAACACTTTACTGTACACCACATAAACACAATCAAGCCTTCGAAAATAGCTGTAAAATATATATTATTGAGCAACCTGTTAGTGCTGAGTTTAGTATGCAGAGAGTTGCTGCACTCACTCATATCATAGAACTGCTGCCAGAAAGCCTCCATCCAGCGCTGTGTGTCTTCTCTGCTGTCGGCTGATAATGTGTGCGTCACCTCCTCTCCTCCATACTGGTTAGTGATACAGATGTTCTGTGCTTTGCTCTGAGGGTCCTTCTCTGCTGCTCTTATTCTCGTCTCCTGAGACACACAAACAGCACGGATCTCTTAATATTGTGCTGTTTATACATATGCTGCAAACTGTGATGGAAACTGACATTTCGTCAATTATTGACCCAAAATTGTAAACATTATTCATTCATTCATTCATTTCACCTTCAGCTTAGTCCCCGATTTACCAGGGGTCACCACAGCGGAATGTGCAATATAAAACTTGATCATTGGTTTCGCTTCACCTCAATATTTACTCAGCAGGCATACAAAATCATAAGACGTTAATATTAGGTTAGATTTAGGTCATGACGTCAGGTGACCAAAATTCAATGTCTAGCCAGCATCTAAGGAAAACGTTATTTTGACATCCAATAACGACATCAAATTACCTTGACTTTTGGTTGATTTTAGGGTATGTTGGAAAGTGACCAAAATCCAATGTCTGATAGATGTCATAGTGGTACCGTCCACACAACGTCAAAGTGTAACATGATTAGACGTTGATATTTGTTTAATTTTAGGTTGGATGTTGGACATTGACGTTGGCCTAACATTGGGTTTTAACGTCAACCCAATTTTAATTTCTAAAGTCCCCACGATATTGTGGGATTCGTTGGGGCACAACGTCAATATGGCGTCATGTTGATATCCTGTGCCTGCAGGGTAAGTTCATGCAGCCATGTAAGAGGCAGAAAAAATGTAGTGTCAACCAGTCATTATAGCAAACTTTGACAGACTGTTACAACATGCAATATAATTATTATTGTCTCTAATAAATTTTTTAAAATATATCTTTACACTTTCATGAAACTTATGAAACATTCTGAATTATGCAGTTATGCATCCCGATTTTAAATTCAGGTGAAGGATTCATAATTATGGTAATAGCAGCATAGGAAGCATGTGAAATTTGAAGACCAGTTTCTGTTGGAAGTCATTAATTAAATTTATTTGTTAAAAAAAAAACACAAAAAAAAAAAAAAAAAAAAAAAACAACTGTTGTGTTTTTTAAAACTTTCCATGGTAATACAAAGCAAAAAAATGACAATTTAAGTCTGGGTCTTTAATGTAAGTCATCGAATACTAACTGTAGTCATTTAGATGTATTTTTGTTGACATAGGATTATTTTGGTGGCCTTTTTGCCCTAGCCCCTATTATTTTCACACCAAGTGCAATAAAAGGAGTGAAATGAGTCGACTATTAACTGAAGTAGCAGAACTGTAAAAGGAGCTTTTACACATTTCCTTCAGAGCCTGCAGGTGTCAGCAGAGCTTCAGGAAAGCGTCAGCAGTATGTAGCGGTCACCTGAGAGCTGAGGAATGTGCAGACTCACAGTGCAGCTCTCAGATGTTCAAACAAAGTCTTTGTGCTGGCGACACGCAGAGCTCTCAGGGCACTCAAAGACCCAGATCCACTGCACCACTAACAAAAAGCCTTTTCACAGTTACAGACACAATGAAGAATGCTCTGATGGCTACATCTCTACTAAAAACAGAAAATGCTTCTGAAAGAACACTTTCAAAACGTTCACCATAAAAAAACTCATGATATTTCCAAAAGCAGAACAATGACCCTGATATCATGAGCATGAGCATGTTTTCAAATTCCCACAGTAGCACTCGTTAGTGTTGTCACGAAAATGTTCCAACTTTTATACAATAGTTAAAAAAGTATCAATATTTTAAACCACTTTCAATACCAGATTACTTCAAGTTTCTTCTTTCTTCTTTTACGTCTATTAAACCATCATTTATAGCTCAATGTTAGGGTAAGTGCACCCAACACATTTTCTTTTGGATCAACTAATACTTTAAGGGTTTTTATTACCGGCTGATTTAGGCCAATTGTTCAAATTTTAACTTGCCATGTCAAAATGTTTCACTTGCCCACCTGAAAAATAAAACCTAAAGTAGTAAAATAAAACAAAAATATATATGTTTAAATTCCCTCTATCAGCCCTCTCTCATCATGGCCTCCCAATCATCCCCATACCCTGAATTGACTCTATCTCTGTCTCTCCACTCCACCAATAGCTATGTTTGTTTTTGTCATTGCTTTGAACCACATAACACAATTTTTCCATGTAGTACTCTAAAAAAATTCACAATTTTTAATTAAAATTTTAGTTTAAGACAATAAAATACTAGACTTATAGCCTAGTATAGTATAGTCTATACTAACTTATAGTTAATTATATAAAATATTCTTGTCTTTAGGTAGGTCTAACTGTCGTTTTGCAAGATATTTTTTCCTCAACTGTTTCCTTTCAGTTTAGATTGTGTTTTAGGTTGAGTGTTATGTTTTAATGAGGGTATTTTGACTTTACTTGCTATATTTAGGCCCGATCCCAATTCTATTTTAGTACCCCTACCTCTACCTCTTCCCCTTGGCCCTTGAAACAGAGTATGAAGGGGAAGGGCTTTAAATTTTACCCCTATGTAATGGGACACCACTACAGCACCTGCACACGTCATCATATGTCATTGTGATTTCTTGCTTCCTATGGAATCACGACTGCTATAGTTATTCTAGTTGCGTTATTTTTTTTGGTATTTATCTTCAGGAAATCACTGAAGGCATATATTATTTTATCATAATGGTCTAATGTGGCAATAAGCTTGTTACTGTACTGTGCATTTACACAGTGGCCATATTCATCTATGTAAACACATGAAAACAACATTAACATTGTAGCAGACACTTTAAAAAGGTCACTCCCAGCCACTAGACTTTTCTGACAGGGCATTTCAGTGTCATCGAGTGTCAGATTGTTGTGGGACTGCTGTGCAGGAGATATTATTATGGATTATAGATAGCTAAATTTAGCGTTTTTTTAATTTATCGTTTTATTTTTAACGCATGACTGTAAAACAGGAATGCAGTCATTAATATATTAAAACATATGCTTTTTTTGTTGTAAAAATTTGTAATAATGACAAAAAATCAGTGTATCACATTACTTCCGTGTGCAGCCACTCTAGATGGTGTATTCTAGGAAATTTTCTTATCCCTTGGTTTTGAGCGTGGTCCTAAAAATCTTTATTTCAAGGGCTATCTAGCCCTTCTCCTTAGCCCTACGCCTTCAAGCTAAAGAGTATTGGAACCCACCCATTCCTTCACATGAATGCACAAAATGAGGGGTAAGGGGATGGGCTAAGGGGTAGAATCGGGATGGGGCCTTAGTCTATCCATTGACGCCTAAGAGCATGTAAAAGAAAATTCTGAGTGTGCTTCACACAGGTGAGTGGACATGACAAAGCAACTGTAAAAGACAGATTCTTTCCTCTTCTTATGCACCAGACACTTTTCTACAAACACTCATTTATAAAAACTCAATAATAATAATAGAAAACCTGCTAACCTAACAAGCTTGTCATGGCATCTATATATTGCTACTCTCTTGTGATTTGAAGTGCTTCATTTATTCTCATTTGTAGGTCACTTTGGATAAAAAACATATTTGCTGAACGAATAAATACAGGGATTCAAAAAGATTACCACAACTTTGAAAATCTGTATTCAATCAAAGAAACATGAAGGAGCCTTGGGTAATTAATTAATGTAAAGTGAACTTAACAAACTTAAGTTGTACAAGTTCATAGATGTTCAATAGATGTTCAATATGACCCTCTCCAGACACTTGAGTGACATCAACCCGATAGTTGTGGTATTCTTTTTGAATCACCCTGTATAAATTAAAAGTTAAAATTCAGCATTTCACAACACTAGCACTGAATATATCTTACTTTGTTGATGCCGATAGTTAAGACAGGCTCGACGTTGGCCTCCATGTCCTCTTTTTGATGATAGCAGAAGAGATTTGTTCCTTTCAAAACACCATAGACGTTCGTCCAGCCCTGTGGCTCACCTCCGAGCTTGAGAAAAAAGAACGAAAGAAACATGAGCCAAAAGAAATCTGAAATCCGAATACTTAAACGAGTTTTTCATACACACCTTTACCCTCAGACAGCCACTCATCATCTGCTGTGTCATACAGTGAGGTTGAGCAGCCAGACGACAACATACACTGCCATACAGAGGCAGCCAGTACGAACACTCCTCTACAGACAGACAGACAGACAGACAAGAAAAGAGACATTAAAGACAAAGAAACCAACAAAGTCAGAAGATTGTATTGTAGAAACCTAGTAAACAAGCTATTCAAGTGGTGTCATGTTTTGCATTCTATATTTTTAGCATACATTTTATGGCAGACCAAACTATCATCTGGAAGAGTGAACAGCCCTCATTGAGACTGCAGTAACTCCTTGAACATAAAGACGGCTATAAGCGCCTCTTATTGGCCATTCACACATCACGAGCGACCATCCAGAGAGGTTTATGAGCGTGACCTAAACACAATAAATCTGACAGATGTCCACAAAACAAACACTCTCTCTCTCAAACACACACACACACATACGGATGTGCTCTGCAGGCATGTCTGTAATTGATTACCTGCAATGTGAAGAAAACTAGCATGTCATAAAATAAACGTGCTTTAAATAAAAATCCAGAAGCACTTGTTGACAGTCTTATGAGAAAATAAATCATCTCACTTCCGATTATAATCTATAATCTAAAATGCCAAATTATAATCTCAAACTGTATTTAATTCATTTAAATTATTTAATGTTTATTATTATTACAATAATAGTTAAATTATATATAATATAAATTATTAGCCCTCTTGCTGTTCTTTAAATTCATTTTTAAAATATTTCCCAAACGCCAAAGAAAATGTTATTGACACATTTTCAAATAAAATATTCATGATAATTAATTTTTAATAACTGATTCTATTTTCTTTATCATTATGACAGTACATATGATTATATTAAAATTATAATATTTTTTTCCTTTAGCTTAGTAACTGATTTATCAGGGGTCACCACAGCAGAATGAAAAGCCAAGTACTCTGGCATATGTTTTATGCAGTGGATGCCCTTCCAGCTGCAAGTCAATACTGGGAATTTTAAAATAATAATAATACATAATATTACAATATAATATATAAATGTAGAAAATGTGGATGAAACTGAAACATGTAGGTGCAGTTTTAAGGAATATCCATGCCAATAAAGGCTTTTTAATATTTTTCCATATTTTTCGATGCCTTTTGCTGTTAATTCTGATAAATCCCTTCACAAAGAGCACAGACACATGAATTAAGCTACCCCTGAGCACTTTTTGTTTGATTTTGAACAATATTAAAGCTATTTTGCAAGATAATAGTGTTAGCTTAAAGGGGTGCTCCACTACGATATCATATTTTAAACTTTAATTGATGTGTAATGTAGCTGTGTGAACATAAACAACATCTCTGAATGTAATATGCTCAAAGTTCAATGCAAAAGGAGACATTAGCTTTTACAGAGTTAGCTTAGCAAAGCTTACAGTGAACGAAGATTGGGGACTACAAAAAAAAATATACATTCAGGCTAGTGAGATCACAAGAGCTTTAGGTTATGCACATTCACCATGTGGATTTACCACACGTATACACCCCACGCAGTGAAGGGGCGTGGCGCTGTAATGTTATAGCAGAGAAAGCTTAAATGCCGTCCAAAATGAGGTCTGCTGCTATTTTCACAGAGCTATTTCTGCTTCTGTATTTGGGCTACCAAAGGACACAGCACAAAGAGAGAAGTAATTAAAACGTTATTTTAATTATGTTCCAGAGAATTATAAAACATATATAGCTAGCATTTGACAAAGGACAGCTTCCAGAATCTCTCCCAGTTCAGTGCAAGATTCGGCTAAAAACTCCTCCAACCAACGAAGCTGTGGATTGTGAAGCACAACCTGTGAGTATTTTTATTTGTTAAAATTGATAAACTACAAGCACAGTTTCTAGCATTAATGGTATGTTGTAGCAATAACATAAACAAGGATGTAAACAACGGGAAATGCTGTTTGGCACTGCCAACAATTTAGCTACAAATTCATATTTATCCGTCAAACCGCTGTAAACACCCACAATCTTTAGCAGCGCGTGCAGTGTTTCTATATGCGGATGCTTTCAGTGTCTATGTGACCACTTTCCATGCGTTCTACGTGTCAAATGACAAACTTGCAAAAGATATGAGAATGTTTCATATTACTTACACATGCTTATTACAAATATATGTAAAAGACACTTGTCAGATTTTATTTTAGAGAGCAGGCGTGAGCTGTGTGCTCTTCATTCTCATTCATATCTGATTCAGGCAGCTAACGCTGCAAACAGCTGCTCTGACTGACTGTTTACACAGCGCAAAAACGTGTGCTTGTAGGGGCGTGACGTGAGTCAATCTGCAAATCACAATTAAGTTAGCTGACCAATCAGAGCCTCTTGAGGGCGGACCTTTCGGGGAACTAAAAATATGACAGTCGTTTTCATGTTAGTTAAGTAGCTGTATATAATCAAAGTAAGATACATGAAAAAAAAATTACCAGATTGTCTACAAGTATAGCATGTGCACACATTGCTTTGCATCTTATAAACACAACCAAACCTTAAAAATACACTGTGGACCACCCCTTTTTAAGTGCAATTTAAAAGATTAATTAGGTTAAGTAGGCAAGACGGATTAATTAAGTGAGTTATCGGACAACAGTGGTTTGTTCAGTAGCAAAATATCAAAATATTTGGACAGTATTTTAAAAGAAAAATGAAATAATGTTACGATGTGTCTGTCATATAAAGGATTTTGAGAAAGGATTTTGTCAGAATTAAAAGCAGTTTTATAAAGACAGTGGTAAAAAAGAGATGGCAGCTCACCGTTTCCTGTGATGGTGAGGTCGTGTGTACGAAAGCTGTCCTGAACATGGGAGAGATTGAGGGTCGTGTGAGCCAGAAGATGATATTTGGGCCCCCTGTAAATGACAGATGGGGAATATGCAAATATATTTAAATTAGATACTGTCTATCAAATATAAACATAACTAAATTACCTATAAAACAGGTTGATAAATAACTAACATTAGCTGTGACTACATCACACATTAATCAGCATTTGCTGAAAATAAAGAAACATAAATCCAACCCCAAACTTTTTCACAATATTATTATTTGCAAGTCAATTATTCCGTAAGGTAAGAGTACAATCATTTTCTGCTTTAAGGAGAAATTCTAATCTTTAAAATATACAGATCAAATTTCTCATCAAAGCAGAAAATGATCAAACTTTTAAGAATCTGTCAATTGGAGAATTCTCAGCAAAGCATTATAATGTTGTTGATAAACCCTAGGCTTAGTGAACTGCATTTTCAATCCCCTTTGATGAAATATTGGAATGTCTTTTGTTATGTATATTGGGTGGTTTGTATTGTTGTGTTTGTCTTTTGTACTATTGGACCTAGTGTCTGAATTAAAGAGAATCATTTGCTTGTTTTACATCTATAAGCTTATTGCAGGTCTACAGTGCACCTAAATCTGCCAGCATCAGTTGTGTGTGTTTTCTCTTCACACTCACGGCACAGAGGGCACAGGCAGCAGGATTGTGGCTCCTCCTCCATTGCTAGTGGGACTGCAGGCTCCAGGCTCTAAGGACGCCCTCATTTTCTTTCCTGCTGACCTGCCCAGAGACGAGCTCAGCTTGCTGGCCAGTTTGCGCGGTGTGCTGCCTGCTGAACAGTCGTCCTCTGAACAACAGCTATACAACTCCACCCGCAGCTCGAACCCAGGGGCTGCTTCATTACTGCACACAGCAGGAATGCATCACATACATGTCAAGTTATTAGACTCATTAAATTTGCATATGTACAAAGGCACATTTACATTCAGTAAACACTACTCTTCAAACTTTTATGAACAGTAAGCTCTTTTTTCTTTTCTGAATGAATCTAATGCTTAGAATCAGTGAGGATTTAATAAATGAAGAACCCAGCAGGCACAGGACGTCAACATGATGTCATGTTGATGTTGTATCCCAACGTCCAGGGTCGTTGCATTGTGTTTGGAAATGAAAATCAGGTTGATGTCAGAAACAAATGTTCAATGTCAGACAGACCTTGCATTTTGGTTACTTTCTAACGCAACCTAAAAACAACAAAATATCAACATTTAATGATGTTACAACTTGACGATGTATAGACATAACCACTATGACGTTTATCAGACATTGGATTTGGATTGCCACACCTGACGAATAAATATTTTACATATTTAAGATGTTGGCTTAAGGTTGGATTTTGGTCACTTTCTAACACAACCTAAAATCAGCTAAATATCCGCATCATTTAACGTCATTATTGGATGTCAAAATAACATTGTTTTTAAATGCTGGCGACCTAAATCTAACCTAATAATAACGTCTTATGATGTTGTGTGTCTGCTAGGGCACAGCTGCTGTCAGCATTGATAATATCAAGATGATTCTTATGCACCAAATCATCATAATCAAGTCAAGTTCAAGTAAAGTTGAGCTTTATTGTCATTCACATGTGTGGATATACAGTTGAGCACAAAATGACCACGGTGCTACATAAATAAACATTCCTAAATATGAACACAACACTGGATGTAAGAGTTCATTTAACCCCTGTTTAACCCATTTAATAAAGTTACACTCGTGTCCCTAATGGACAGAAATGTCTATGTCTAATAACTGTCACAAAAACTGACACACTGCTTATTAATTTTCTGAAACAAACGATGTGACCTTGTGTTTCATTTTATTTGCTTTATACAGTAGGCCAATACAATGCTCTTTTGCTCACACCTTGACATTGCTGTAAACATGTTGGATGATTAAGCTGAAAGCAGGGTAAACCTGACAAAATGGAATCCCTTTCAATGTTGTTTCTGTTATTTTGAATTCGCAATTATGTTTTACCAGAGTGAAAGTGAGATCCCATGACATTCTATAGGCCTTTGTAAAATAAAAAGCATATGCCATTCGCAGTGCCATCATCTTGAACTTATAGAGTGAACAAAAAAATGATAGGTTACATGACAAGATTATTTATTTTGTTGTTAAGGGAAACATATTCATGTTTGTTGATTTAATATGAATGTATTCCCATCACAGAAGCACTGCAGGTATAATAAGACAACGGTGTTCTGTTGTTTAGGCTGCTGTTGTTTGTGCATGTTAAAAACAATCCTTCAAAAGATTATTAAGTTATTGATGGAAAAACAAGCGCTTTTTAGCAAGAAAGTACACCGAAACTATAGTGGAGTTTTGTTCATTTAGCCTACTTTTTAATATTAGTTAATTATATAAATACTTGTTTTATATTTAGAGTTTTTTTTGCTTCTACATTGCTGTTTATGGACAGGGATCCTGTGTGTTTTATAGCCTACATCATTGTGGCAAGAGACTCTCAAGATAGCGACACCCCTCTCCCCCCATTAGAAAAAAAAGTGGGCTTCCCAAAAGTGGGCCATGGTATAGCTCCAACGCTGCATACAAGTGTGTGAAAACTTAGAGACTGCACTCAAATTTAATGTGTGAACTGTATACATGCTAAGCGTGTGAATGTCCAGAAAGCACTCACAAGACGATTGTGTTGTCAAAGCAGATGTCTGTCAGTGTCCTGTCAACCATCACCATGTCTGTGTCAAAGATCTCTCCCCCCAGCTGCAGCAGGCAGAACACAGCACAACGGTGCAGCTCTGAAGGCAGACAGACAGACAATTACATGATTTCAACTCAAGCATCACACTGTAAAGCCTTAACCAGTGTAGCAGCAGATCTGGCCCAGTGCCTGTAAAATCCCCAGAGCTCCTCTGGTCATTCAGGAAACATTTACTCCTGCACCTGTATGTCTGCTTCTTCCCGCTACACTAATACCTGTGTATTTTTTTCCCTGTACAAATTGTAGTACATGAATAATTGTGACACAACCGGCCCTAAACGTTCTTTCTCGAATCATTATGATGATTATTAAAATATATGTTCCTATTAACAGGATAAAGCACACATAAAAGCTTTCCCATGAGAGCGTAACACATGCAAGTGGGTTCCTGTGTCACATTTATCAACATAATATCAGCTCAGTCTCTGCTCTAAGCACCATAGGCGAAACTACATTACTCACCGTGGTCTGGAAAACTACTTTCAATGCCAGTAATAATATTCTGTTTACCCAGAGGGCTCTGCTGGACCTGAACGCTTCATAAATAAATTTGTTTTTTGTTATCGGTATAATGCATATTTTACTGAATGTGCAACCTATCAGAGCAGTGTTGTCTTTTGTTTGTGTTGGGTTATTCAGATCAAATAGATTCTAAACAAGCCATGATGTTGTTTTAACCTGAATATCAGAGTGAAAAAGAAAACAGATGTTACCTCCTTTATTCTTAAAATACTCTGTGTCTTTCCACATTAGAGGTATCCGGAGATCTGTAAAAGGTCAGAGAGAAACACACAAGGTAAGAACACACGCATGCACTCAGTGTCTCTCACAGCTGCGAGCAACAAACCTCGTCTGTCACTCCATGTCAGTCAAGAGAAAAATACATCTGAAACACACATCTGGTGTTTTACGCCTTGCTGTCAGTCGGTATGAATCTACATTATCCTACTGGTCCGCCCACAACATTATTGCAGCCCACCTGGATGAGTCTGTCTATCTATCTAGACCAATGTAATAACAGCAGAACTTTGTTAAAGTAATATGAAGAGGCTGTTAGGGAAGAATTAATAGGGTACTGACTTCTGATGATAGACAGCAGACAGCAAATAGAGGCTGTATGTGGGAACATTAGATTGTATGTGTGTGGGATGAACTAAATAATAAACAGTCTGGATGCTTTTGAATGGTGGCACAATGGAGCATGAGCACAAATCCCACACAGAATCAGCAGCTGAAGAAAGTGAAGGAAAGTCTGCAGAAGCGGAATGCTGACGTTAAATGTCACAAATGCCTTGTCTATTTTTTGCTTGTTTACTAAATATTGAGTAAAATTTGATCATGCGCTTAAAGCCACAATATGTCATTTTCACCACTAGAGGGCGTGTATTCAAAACAAACAATGGCGTAGTGTATTATTTATATCATGATAGTGAATATTTGGCTTGTTTTAAGGAAAAACTCACTTGATTTTAATGTATTTCTGAAAATAAAACTGTATTTTTATCTAGAATATATTTGAAATTTAGATATTTGAACTAGAAACATGACAATATATATATATATATATATATATATATATATATATATATATATATATATATATATATATATATATATATATATTGTCAATTAGGGGTGTAACGGGTCATGTTTGATCCGTACAGATCACAACCCATGGTTTGGAACACATGTGGCCCATAGATTAATACGTTGTTTTTTTTTATCTGTAGATTATTCCTAAATCTGTAATGACCACAGAGAAATCACCCATCGTGTCATTCAAATCACATCTATGAAAGCATTTAGACTTTCCTGTAATATATAATGATGACGAAAGAAGTTGTGGTAGGTTATTCAGGATGGTGGGTTTCAATAATGGTGTTTTCTGTCACTACTTGTTTAGCCTCCATCAATGCATTCAGTTTAAGCTGCATGATTAATTATTGACAGATCGAAATCTCAACACCCACACAACATAAATAAAAATGATGGTGATTTGCATGTTTATTAATTCTTCCAATCACAAAAAGAAAAACACAAACATTAAGAAAGAGATCCAGTTTTTAGTCTTTTGAGTTTGTTATGAAGTTACACAAAGTCAAACAACACAGCAATACTAGGATAATAGTTTATAGTTTAGATAAAACCACTGATGTTAATGGGAAAGATTATAATCACACTCATGTGTATTTAACAATGCTCAAATATTAAAGATGTAGGCAGCAATTATTTAACCATAAGGTGAGGACAACCAGCCATCAAAAATAAGCCACTGAATAATTCTTCAAAAATTACACATCTAGCAGTGAAACATGAAGTTTTATGAATAAAAAAACTTAACCATTAATTAAAAAATGAGACAAAAAAAATTTATGTATATGTGTTAGATTTAGCATTATCAGCAACAGTAGTAGTAACAGTGAATTTTTCACAGAACTGAATATTTAGCATTTTATTTTTATTTAGCAGATTATGATGACAGGTTCTAAGTTCTGTTTGTTAAAACCAAAAGTGTCCTGCCGTACTGTTTTAATAATAATAGTCAGAAAGAAAATAACATTTGTCTCATCCCTTATTTGACTGATGCGAAAAATGGTCTGATCCTAAAGATTTATGATTCGCTACACTATTGTCAATAAATTCTACTACTACTATTTCTACTACAGCATTTTTTGATGTGTATCATGATTGTTAGGCACTAAGATATGTCACTGTTTGGGAAACGCAGCCCAATTTGTTTATGCATTTACTTTTACATCTGTCCTCAACAGAGAATAAATTATTGTATACGATTTTCATGTTAAAGACAGAGCCTCAGCTAACTAACAATCTACACACACAATCATATTTCAAATCTGTTTGCCAGTGGATGATAATTTATCTTCAAACTCTAGATTTTGTTCAAAATGATACCACACAAGTTCATACACAGTTCCACTAGAAGAACAACAATGCCTTTACCTAGATTTCATTTAAAAATAAGCTATCTAATGCAGTAAGATTCTGCTGATCCCATCTGTGGCTACAAATGAAAGTGATTTACATTAGTGTGCGTGTGAGGATATAAGGTCCTCTATAACCCTCTTCATAATGATGTCATAATTACAGCATTTACAGGGTATCAACCCTACAGGCCTCTCACTGTGGGTCTCAAACACAGATTGAGAAGTCTGTACCGGTGGTTAATGGTGTTGGGTGTTTAGAGGGAGGCTGGTCCCTCGCAAAGATCCAGACAGTGGGGAGGGGAGGACAACTCGTAAAAGAAGCCCCACAGCATACTCAGACACAAGTGCTGATATATAAAACAGCAGGGGTGTGATTTAGTGCACAGACACCCATATAAACAGACTGGTCTGCATGATTTACACGTAAAAAACACAATCAAAACCAGCATCATATACAAAACTGTTCAGCATGATTGGTGTTAATAAGATGTTCTTTTTTTCTTTATTTTGTGTTTTTTTTTCATGTTTGTGGAAAATAAGACTGATCAATACTGCATTTATTAGATCAAAATATAAAAGATCTGAAATTAATCAAAAATTGATCAGAAATTCACATAAAAATTTTCTCAATTTTAATCTGCCTTAAGAATGTAATATATATATATATACCTGTGATTTCATAGTTGTTTTAATTTTAAAAAACTTTTGAAAATTAGAGCATGTTTTTTTTTCTCGTGTGTAAAGTGATGACAATGGCATGAATTCGTTTCCACAAACATACCTGAAATGGCTACTTTGCCTTTACATGGGGACCGGTCATCCATTGGTCCTGCATCAGAAGACCTGAGGAGAAAAATGTATGCTTAAATAAACACAGTAATATTCAGATTTCCATAAAGGCTAATTTATGCTTCTGCATCGGGTGATCGGCGTGACCCACGGTACATGCCTTGCGCATAGTCGTGCATTTATAGTTCTGCTGCTGTTTGTGTTGCTCTGCAATAACCCTTCCGTAACACTAGCTGGCAGTAGGTTTCTATGTTCCGCTGTGTCAAGTTACTTCTCTGGTGTTTTGTTTTATCTGAACGCTACCTTAATGTACAAGTAGCTAAAACTCGCTCCTTCAGATACAGGATCCGGCGGACGTGCAACAACATGGATCATAAGGTCAACACAAAACAAAAGTGTCCATCTGAAGCTCCTTCATGGGCAGTCCTGCCAGATAATAGCTGACTTTTTCCAACTGAAAAGCAGGAACACAAAAAAAAAAAAAAAAAACGTGCGAAATATTATATTAATATTTTATTTTATTTTATTTATTTAAATCAAAACTAACAAAGTTACTTTAACTATCATAATTTTTAACCATACAGCAACCAACACTAGCAGTCACAGAAAATAACCGGATCATATCGAAACATTGGGTGGCCCTTTCTTACCCACACACTGCACTTACAATTGAGTAGATTACACTACCTATTAGAGCATGTTTTGCTTTCGAAATGGGATATAAATTCATCCCATTTGGCATTTTAAATTCCTTTGAACATAATTAGATGCCACTTGTCAATCAGACAGCACTTGTATGTTTGTTCTTGCTGTCAATTGTGGAAAAAAATGATTGATAAAAGTGTCATGATAAGCCGCTGTGTTTAACTGCAGGTTCTTTATGAATTGCGTGCACGTGAACGAGAGTCAGACTTGTCCAGGGAGTCAGAGTTTGATACAACTTTTCTTCACATCCTCTTGCGGGTGGGCCTACATGGTTTGTGCTATGCACTGGTCACTACTAAATTGAATGGAGTAGGAGCACACAGTTATGTTTTGTTAAATAAGTTGCATATCAAATTTACATTTCAAAACCGTCCAAATTTTGTCAACCCACTAAATTCAAAACCACCCAATCTGGCAACACTCTTCATGGAACTCGACACTTGTAAACAATCCCTCCACATGTACACGCGGATCTCAGTCCCGCCGACCAATCACAGAGCTTGCACTATGCGTCGGTGCAAAATGTTTTTACATTTTTTGAGAGGTGCACATCACCATGGGAAGTATAAATCAAGAAATGTAAATCAGCCTTAAGATGAAAGCATTACTGGTGTCACGATCACCAGCGATCTAACCACCATCTCTGGAGAACATTCACATTCACACGAAATACAATCCTGTCTCTAAATGAACTACAGATGCAGTCATGCAACACACACCACTGATTACACTCTCACAGCTGAAGTTGCTCAATGACTGATTTCACACACATACAGTTAAAGTCAGAATTATTAGCCCCACTGTTAATTTTTTACCCCCGATTTCGGTTGAATTTCTGTTTTTTTCCCAATGTCTGTTTATTTACTCATTTCTAAAAACTGATTTATTTTATCTTTGCCATGATGGCAGTAAATAATATTTGACTAGATATTTTTCAAGACACTTCTATACAGCTTGAAGTGACATTTAAAGGCTTAACTAGGTTAATTAGGTTAACTATAGGCAGGTTAAGGTAATTAGGCAAGTTATTGTATAACTATAGTTTGTTCTATAGACTAAAAAAAACTATAAAAATATAGCTTAAAGGGGCTAATAATTAAGACCTTAAAATAGGTTTGTTTAAAAAATTTACAACTGCTTTTATTCTAGCCAAAATAAAACAATAAGACTTTCTCCAGAAGAAAAAATATTATCAAACATCCTTTGAAAATTTTCTTTCTCTGCTAAACATAATTTGGGAAATATCTAAAAAATAAAAAAAATAATCAAAGGGGGGCTAATAGTTCTGACTTCAACCGTATATGGCTCACTTTGAGACACTCATTGCTGAGTCTTGTTTACTGCATTTGTGATATTACAACGCGTTTCCTTTGTCTTGCTTTGTCGTGTTTTGATCCTCAATTGTTTATTCCTGTCTGCTGCCTGCCTTCTGACAATCTGCCTGTGCATATGACTATAACTCTGGATTGCCCGTAAACATCTGTTTGGTGCCTGTGTTGACCATTGCTTACCTGACCTCTCTAATTAACCTGCATTTGGATTCACACTTCCGTTGTCAATGTCACTCCCTTGTGACAATCGGCACTATACGTTGTTTAACCAACACATTGTTAATAAATTAGAGTCTCGGGTATCTCTGGGTACTTCCAAAACTACTGATACATATTTTATTGAGCATTTGCTTTTCGAAAACATTGCATGTCTCAAGCCAATCCACTTGGTAAAAGGAAGCCTTTGGCTGTGTTCACATTCATAGATCAGATACCTTGGTACTTTTGGTTCAAAACTAAAAGATGAAAATGACAGATTTAATAGTGGAAAACTATGCAAAAAAAAAATCATATTGCTTATTTAGGTTAAACTACAGTTAAGACCAGCGAAAATGTGAGGCATGTTTGATGGGCACCAGGTTCAAATTTACAGTTCAAATCAATTGAACTGCTCAACCAAAGCAGTCACATTTTGTTGATTTTTTTCAATCAGAATAAAACCTGCCAAGTGTAAACACAACCTTCAATTAGATTTAACACTTTGACACTAGCTGTAAAATGACAATCCTGATCAAATATTTAAGATCAATTATCTAAAATGGACAGCACATCATTGAACTCTTTCTGACCTCAACACAATTTGATGTCATGTGCTTTGTGTCTATCCAATTTCCACTACTTTAGTCAATACCTTCTACTATTTAGAAATATATATATATATATATATATATATATATATATATATATATATATATATATATATATATATATATATATATATACACACACACACAACATATATACCTGAGGGACAAAATAACAGAAATCCTTGATCCCAAGAAACTGACCTGTTATCCGATTTTCCTTTAATAAAGCATCGCTAACATCAAACACACCAACAAATTTCACGTCTAATTTGGTTTAGATAAACTTTGTTAGGTGGACACAACCTGCATTGATTGAATCGAGTAAGACTGACCTGCGTGCGACCCGTTGCATGACCTGCGCCTCCTTCATGCGCTGCAGCTCTGACATGTAGGCCATGATGCGAGCATTGCAGGTCAGGAGACTCTTGGAGGCCTCCAGCGCTTGGTCCCTCTGAGAGCATGCAGCCAGCAGCTTACACGCACCCTCGCGCATACGTATCTCATAGTCAATCTTCTTCTGGATGTCACTGTCCTGGAAAAACAGAATGAGGATAATGTCAGTTTTACTGACCACTAGTTGTGCAAATTACACATATTAAAGAGTTTACTCAAAATTAGGGTGTATTTCACACAGCTAGACCAGGGGTGCCCAAACTTTTTCCTATGAAGCCAACAACTAAACTTGATTGAGGGTGGTGGACTGGAGGTAAATATACCAAACTGTAAGGTTGTCAATGTAATTTCCTAATTTATTTTTTGAAATTCATTATAGAATTTATTATACAGTATAATTTAATTAATACTATAATTTATTACATTTAAAATACTATGATTGTATTAATAATTATACATTTTTGTTTATTTAATAATGAACATCTTACAATAAAAACATGAACAATGTCATTTATAAGACTAAAAAATACACTTTGCCTTGAGTCGCTTGCTGATGTCTTCTGCAATGTCCGCTATCCATCAAGTGACTATATAAATTATCTTATTTTCAGTCTGATTCGTTTACAACATTTATTTAAAATATTTAAGTTACTTTTTTGTAGATTAACAATTAAAAAAACAAATAAAAGGTTTACCGGGTCCTAGTTTGGCATCTCTGAGCTAGACACACACACACAAATGATCCTTAGCTTTATTTCTTCATTATATTATAGAAAAGCAATTAATGTTAACAAATGTACTCATGATTGATCAGTCTTGAAATGCATAAATCCAGTTCCTCAAGATGTTATCACATGAATATTTTACAGTTACTGCCATGTCTCCAGGGCCTGCAATGATTCATGAAAAGTCAAGCTTTTTCTGAACAGGCTTAATGGATAGTTTCCTCTACTTCAGTATCAACCCATACGCTCTTGGCTAAAGGAACAGTGCACTTTTAAAAAGATTCTCATTTTAAAATTATTAAAAGTTAAACAGATGAGTTTTACCATTTATTTATTCATTTAGCCAATCTGATGAAAGCCCTTTCAGCTTAGCATATATCATTGAATCAAATAAAATACATTTCAATCTTTCTCATAAATTCAATAATTTGAATATTTTTCCTATTTAAAGCTGAACTCGTCTGCAGTTACATCATATATTAAGACCTACAGAAAATGAAAAGTTGCTATTTTCTAGCTCGATATGGATAGAAACCATACTCTCATTCCCCCGTAATAATCAAGAAACTTTGCTGCTGTACCATTGCTGCAGTAGGGGCAGTGATATTACTTGATGTTCTTTGATTATTCCACTAGAATAAGAGTATAGTTCCTATCCACATCAACCTAAACAGCAACCTTTCATTTGAGTTGAGTTGTGTTGACTTCATTGGGACCCGTAGGATTTTTTTTGCAGCAAAGTTTGGCATTTGATACAAACAATTAAATCACACATATACATACCCACATATAAACATACAAAAGTACATTATAAAATATTACAATTTATTCAGAGCGACAATAGATGATGGGACAAAGCTATTCCTGTAATGTTTTGTCCAACTAAAAAGCATCAGAAACCTTCGACCTGAAGTGAGTGAGTAGGTTAAACTCCTCAAACAGAGGATGGGAGCTACAGCTACTAATGTTCTAGGCAATGCGTAAAAGCTGACCACAATAGAGATCTAATACTCAGCTGTGATTCACCAATCAACCTGCTAGACCACCTCAGTCTATTCCTGTTTTTAAGGGACACACTTCCAAACCATGCCACCAGAGCAAAGGATAGATTATATTCAATAAAAGCACGATAGAAAGGAGTAAGCATATTAAGGCCAATGTTAAAACTTGATAGTTTCCTGAGACAAAAAATGCTCTGCTGCCTCTTCTTGCACACAGCTTCACATTTGCCCCAGGGTATTTAAAACAGTCAATAATGGTACCCAAATATTTGTAGTTCTCCACAGATTCTACTTTTTGACCCCTGATATTAGTTACCTCAGCTCCTTTTAAAATCAATAATCATGTCCTTAGTTTTCCTTGCATTAGGTATTAGATTTGACTCCTCACACCACTCAACAAAATGATCCACTATGGGACCATGAGTATTTTCATCTCTTTGGAGGAGGCTTACAATCACAGTGTCGTCTGCATATTTTCAAAATTAAATGATTATCAATCATGCTATTTCATCTTAGTAAACAATGTGACTACAAAAGGGCCAAGCTTTAATTTATCAAAACTCTTTGGTCTTTTTTAGATTTAGTAACTAATTCTAAGCTAAGCTAGACTAAATGTTCTAAGATCGGTTGAATGGATTTAAAATTTATCGAAGTCATATGTTAACTCAAGGGGAGTTGTAAAATTAGCCTATTGTCAAAGAAGAGGAGCGTTCCTTTAAGCTGAAATGGTTAAATCATGTCCATAACACGGTATAGGAAAAGCGACTTAATGTGTCACCCATCCATACACAGGTCACATAAACAAAGGTCACACCTTAGTCACATGACCAATCTGCTCCAGCTCGCATTGTGTCTCGATGCAGTGAGGTATGAAATTGAATATGAGAGTTAACAAGCTGGAAGAGATGCTCTGGCCTCTTGACATCAATTCATACCCTCAAATACCAGACACCAGGACACTAAATAATTTACACATACAGTTTGAGTCAGAATTATTAGCCTCCCTTTGAAATGTTTGTTTCTTTTTTTTAAATATTTCCCATATGATGTTTAACCGAGCAAGGAAATTTACACAGTATGTCCGATATTATTTTTTCTTCTGGAGAAAGTCTTATATGCTTTATTTCAGTTAGAATAAAAGCAGTTTTTAATTTTTTAAACACCAATTTAAGGTCAAAATTATTAGCCCCTTTGGACTATATTTTTTCGATAGTCTACAAAACATCATTACACAATAACTTGCCTAATTACCCTAACCTGCCTAGTTAACCTAATTAAACTATTTAAGCCTTTTAATGTCACTTTAAGCTGTTCGAGTGTCTTGAAAAATATCTAGTCAAATATTATTTTCTGTCATCATGGTAAAAATTTAATCAGTTATTAGAAATGAGATATTAACACTATTATGTGTAGAAATGTGTTAAAAAAAACCTTCTCTCTGTTAAACAGAAATTGGGGAAAAAGCAGGGAGGCTAATGATTCTGACTTCAGCTGTATAGCCAAAGAGGAAACAGTCAGGATGTGGTGGAAGAGAGCATCTTTTAAAGGCACAGTTCACCTAAAATAAAATTCTGTCACTGTTGAATTACTCTTCATTTGTTGAGTTCCCTTCTTCTGATAAACACTGTTTACCTATTATGGATTGCTTCACTGAAAAAAAAAATTAAAGATGATTCCTTGGATTTACTAAATTTGTTTAAGTTAAAGGGTAGTAAGTAATTTATTTGGGCTGGATTTAAACACACAAATTAGGTTGTAAATTACTAAATTTAATTAGTTTGTTTAAATTCAACACACATAAGTTGTTTGCAACAACTTTGCAGACATCATTTTTCAATGTACCAGATTCCAGAATATCTTCTAAAAAAAATCTCATAAAGGTTTAAAACCACTTGAGAGTCCACAAATGTCTCTTTCAATTTTTGGATGAACTGTCTCTTTAAGGGTCCCAGTTTTTCTGGGGAAGATGTAAGTGGACTGTGGCTGCATATTAAAGATAAAAGTAGGTGCTTAGAGAGGAAAAAGGAGAGATAGATGTGACTGAGGGTTTCTAAAGGTTGAATGTAATTTGACTTTGGAATGTGGTTAATCTTTAATACATTGAAATTAAATGGTAGAAAAGAACAACGCTTGACAAAGAGATAGAAAGGAATAAGATTTGAACTCCCACACTGCAAATTTTAGATAGTAGATTTAACTACCTTAGAGTTAAAATTAACACTCCCTCAGAGTTTATATGGGAAGCACTATACAAGTGTTAAAAATAACACTTTTGAAAGTGTTAACATTATCAACACTGGCAGAGTGTTAATTAGCAAACTCTTATAGTGTAAAATATCTGTTAAATTTACAAAAAAATAACCATATTTCATGAACTGATCCAATGTTCATTTTACAAAATCATAGCTTAGTGAACAAAAATGTAAAGTCATTAGATGCATTAATGTGTTCATGTGTGATTGCATTTAACAAACAGACTTTCACTGCATTAGTAACTACATAGATACTTTTAAACAAAAGAAGATGCAGCACAACATCAGATACGCTCAGTCCATCTTGGACTTGAACGCAAACGCTACTATCCTCCACAATGGTGACACAAAAAAAGTTTTGCTGTTTTTCTTTTCCTTTCTTGATTTTACAAAAAAATAAAAGCAGCTGTGGTTGCCAGTAATCTACCGTTTTTAACATTTTACATTTATAAATTTAATCTACAGAATATTTCTGTTAAAAATACCTTCCACAGTCTGTATTTTTTATCAAACATCCACCACATACATTCATAAGTGACATTGAATGACTCGAGAAAATGTGGCCATATGTAACAGACATATCTTACATATTTTGCTCTCTTTAATTTATTTAAACAAGGCAATAACTAATAAAAATTACTTTCTTGATCAGTATATTTCTTTCATTTTTTACAGTTTCCTTAACTGACACTATCCAGACCTTCTTGCTTTGCCCTTCAGCCTTCCACCGGGGCTCCTGTTGCCATGGCAACACCCCAAAAAACCCTCTTTTGTGTGCAAATTTCAGAAGCTTAATAAGGTCTAACAAGACCATCAATTAAAAGAGCACCTCCCTTCAGTTCTCCTCTTAAAGGAAAAGAGGGTTTGCTGTACAGCTCACTGCATCAGACTGTGTGATAACTGTCAAAAGGTCAGCTACAGTAGATCACTCTGAAAAGCTAAATCCAAACCAATCTGGACTATTTTAGATATTTGGGACTCTGGACATCAATACACTGTCAGAGTGAGGGAGAGCAGAGTTGGACAAAATGGTACGCTTGACAGAAAGAGGGAAAGGGAGAAAAGTCTACTGAAATCATGGCTATGCATGGGCTGATATATGATTCTGACAGTATGATAACCTTGGACTAAAAACTGCTCTAAAATATGTTCTTTTTAAAT